CCTTGGCGATATCCACGTTCCTTTTGCGTGGCAGACGTGGCCCTTGGCGACATCCACGTTCCTTTTGCGTGGCAGGCGTGGCCCTTGGCGACATCCACGTTCCTTTTGCGTGGCAGACGTGGCCCTTGGCGACATCCACGTTCCTTTTGCGTGGCAGACGTGGCCCTTGGCGACATGCACGTTCCTTTTGCGTGGCAGACGTGGCCCTTGGCGACATCCACGTTCCTTTTGCGTGGCAGACGTGGCTCTTGGCGACATCCACGTTCCTTTTGCGTAGCAGGCGTGGCACTTGGTGACACCCACGCTGCTATTGCGTGGCAGGCGTGGCTCTGGTGGCGCGCTTGGTCCGCGTTGGTCGCCCGTGCCGCCGCGGCACTTTGCGTGGTAGGTGTGGTACTCGGTGACATCCACGGTCCTTTTGCGTGGCAGGAGTGGCACTTGGCGACAGCCACCGTCCTTTTAACCAAAAAAAACATAATATTTCTAGACTCTTTGGAAGGGGGGGGGCTGTTTTTTTTGTTTTTCCAAGTTTTTTTTTGGTTTTGGTCACTTTCAGCCATTTGCACCTTTTTGTACACTGGCCGTTCGGTGTCTTCATGGGTTCAAGCTTGCAGGAACCAATCGTTTAACCACTGCAGCTATGAACATACTGTACTGGGTCTGAGGATCAAGACTGTGTGTTCCAATGTTGAAATGTTCGGCCATATCCTAGATCATAGCCTTAGTTTCATGCTATACTTTTTTTTTCAAAAACATGTTGCATAAATTGGTGGCACACTTTGCTGAAGTAGTACGACCATTGGAATCTGCTGTAGACTCATGTTAAACTTTCTTGGAGGGATGCTACACAGATTTGCCAAGAAACTTTTCACTTTTAAAACTACACACACACATGTGTCACACACACATATATATATACACATACATATGCGCATCTTCAAAGGAAGGCTTTCCTTGATTGACACAGATTTTGCACAGTTTGCAGAAATTATATGTCATTTTTTTCGAGCAAATGCTGCACTAGTTTGAAAGAGATATTGTAGGTAATTGTGCCATTGCACTCTTTGCATAGGCATGTAGCACTTGTTTACATTGCCACAATTATATTTGAATAAATTTGCATTAAGATTTATGATTTATGATTTGAATAAGTTATATTTGAATAAATTCGCATTGATTTGCATTGTTTGAAGCCATGTTCTACTTTGCTTACAAAGATAAGGTATTGCACATTTTGAAGGCCTTTCGAAAGTCGAGTCACATAGCACCCTTTCCAAAACAAAACAACATTTCCATAGAACAGTTGTACTCTTTGAAAGGCCATATTGCAGAAGGTGGTGCAATACTTGCTTTACAACAAGAAAACATACTTTTAACCAGGCTTTTGCATCAATGGAATCTACAGTAGGCTCTTGCTACACTTCCTTACCATAACGTTGCACACTTTGCAAGCAAGAATCTGCACTTTCAAAGGTAAAACGCATGTTTCAATCAATGTGTCAGCAAGGTGGCACTCTTTTCAAAACCATGCTGTAGTAATTCAAGAATAGATTAAATCTTGCAAAGCAGCCAGCATACTACATTTTCCTGCAGGAATGCTATGATTTCTGAAATCATTCAGTACATACATAGGAGGGTTCTCCTTGAAATTGGGAAGTAATGCTGCACATCCTTTAAAGAATGCAACAATGTTGGCAAAAGGTTGTTGCATACATGGAGGAACGGTGTTCTTTATGCAAAGTCATTTTACAAGTGATGTTTGCATGTTTATTTTCCTTCATTTTTTAAATAGAGAACATATTGCATAAATTGGTGCATGTTTAAAATGCACATGTTCAAAAGAACTATTGCATATGTTGAGGGAAGCTTCTGTAGAGATGTAGAGTCTATACATTTTTAAAGCAATGCTGTACCCTTTGAAAAAGCATTTGCACTTGTTTGTTTTGTTGTTTTCATTTAGTGTTCATGTTTGTTTTGGCTGAAACTATGTATCTATGTAGGACATTGGGAGAGCTGCTGAGAATGCACAGTGGTTGCTTTTGTTACAGAAGCAACAATGTTTGGTTTTGGAAAGAACAGGGTTTGGTATCTTTTGCAGAAATGAAATGTCAAAAATGCGGAAAAATTGGCGCTCACAACTCCCTTTTTTTCAATGCATTCAATCATCTTTGCATATGTGTGTGATGATCAAAACTTATGAAACAGCGCACTCCCACAGCCTGCCCCTCTCAAAAATAAACACCTCAGGTAGTTTTTATTATTAGGGGGATATTTATTATTAGGGAACCCTAATAGTAAATTTAAACCTTTAATCAAAAACACTATTTGTTTCGATTTCAAAATCAATTTAATTTCCTTATATAGCGCAATTAAAAAAATCCAAAACTTGGATTTCGAAGCGGACCCTATTAATAAATTTAAACCATTAATTCAAAAAACCATTTGTTTCGATTTCAAAATCAATTAAAACTTCCTTATATAACGCAACTAAAATATTGCCAAAAATTGGTTTTCGAAGCGGGCCCTAATGATAAATTAAAAACCCTAATATAAGAAATAAATAAAATTACCGGACGGACCCTAATAATAAACACCTCACGATTGACCAATTTTTCATATTAGGGGGCGAAACCCACAAATGGTAGCTTTATTTTTAAATTGTTTTTGAAAGGGGATCAATTAAAAGTCAAATTGGCCAATCTGAAATTTTCCAAAATTGGAGATGGACCCTAGTCTTTATTATTTGGGGGAGGTTTAGTAATAGGGGGAAGGGATTAGTCGCCCGTGACCCCGCGGCACTTTGCCTGGCAGGCGTGGTATTTGCTGACATCGACGTTCCCTTTGCGTGGCAGGCGTGGCACTTGGTGGCACTTGGCGACATCCAGGCTGCTTTTGCGTGGCAGGGGTGGTGGCACTTATAGCACTCTAGTTCTTAACCAAGCATGACAGCAAGGGCGATGGGCTAGTGTGCCTTGCTGGGCACATAGAGGCGTTACCGCGTCGCTTGGGAGGCCTTCGACAGTTTTCCACGTGATGCACCTTTGTCATACACATTTTTTTCACACACAACTTTCTCACACACAACTCTGTCACGCGCAATTCTTTCACACACAACTCTTTCTCTTTCGCATATAACTTTTTAGAACTATCGATCCTTTCACCATCTCCTTTGTGTTTTTGCTGCCTTCTCCGTACCGCTTCAATCCTTGTTTCTGATTATTGGAAGAAGTTAACTTGTGGGGTTATCCGGTCCTTTTATTCAACACTATTCAACCTTGGTTTTCTTATGTCCTGGCAACACAATGCTCTTCTGTAAACTTCTTGGCGGCATTGCTTAACATATCTTAAAAAAGTCTTTAAACATGTTCTTGAAACATCATATCCTTTTAAGTCTTAACAAATTTGGTTTCCTATTGATCTATCCTAACAGCATTCCCGACTTCAAGTCTTCTCATCTCTTTTTGCTGCTTGAATATTTTTCAGTTATCTTCAACTCCTTTCATGCTTGAATTGTCATGAATTGTCCTTGAGCTCTGTTTCGCTACCATTTGCTGTGTTTACCTAGCTGTGGTACCAACGTCCAACCATGCTGCAGCAGCGGCATTTTTTCCACGCGTGCTGAAAGTTCGAGCGGCGCGCTGGCAACACAGCCGTGCGAGACACTGCAATGAAAGCCATCTGTCAGGTGTGAGCGTGAGCAGCACAGCTGCACCGTTTGCCGCGTGGACAGCACAGCCGCACGATGCCGCACGTGTGCCGCACTGGCTTTGTCAGACCTCGAAGCTGTCGCCCCGCAGTGCAGCTTGCGCAGCGTGTCCGGAAATCGCATGTCTGCGGCGTGTCCGGAAATTGCACGTCTGCGGGCATGTTGGGAAAGAACTGAGTCGATCCGTTTGCCCGAAAAAACACGATGTTTCGTGCAAATCCTAACGTTCAAATCTCATCCTTGATTGAGAACGTACCATTTCCAATGCGATCTAACAGCTGTCAGTTGCAAAAGACAATAGCACAGCAACACATTACTATTCACTACTCAAGAACAAGTATATATACCTCTTGAGGAACCTTGACGCAGCCACTCCACTGCGATCTGTTGAGATGGAGTTGCAAAAGGCAATAGCACAGCGTCAGCAACAAGAGACAAAAACAACACCGGGACACCTCACTTGCAGTGCGTGCGCAAATAAGCAATGATTCCACGCTAAAGCAATTACGCCCGCAACCGTCGCGCAAGCGAGCCAACTTTTCTCCACAACGGAACGTCCGTTGAAACCCGAAAAAACACATGTTTCATCGGGCAAATCTTAGCAGTCAAACCTCATCCTTGATGTAGCAGTTCCAATGCAGAAAGGACTTCAACACATGCAAACCAGCATGGCTACTACTCCACTCCACTCCGCTCCGCTCCGCTCCGCTCCTCTCCTCCACTCCTCTCTTCTCCTCCTCTCCTCCAGCTCCTCTTCTCCGCTCCGTTCTGCTCCACTCCACTCCTCCATTCGATTCGATTCGAATCTAGTCTTCTAGTCTGGTCTAATCTACTCTAGTGTACTCTAGTGTATTCTAGTGTACCCTAGTGTAGCCTGGTACTCTAGTGTACTTTACTCTAATGTATTCTACTTTAGTTTGCTGTCTATTGTCTACTCTATTCTACTCTATTCATCTATTCTGCTCTACTACTCTGCTCTACTCGACTCCGCTTTACATCACTTTACACTATCTGCTCTGCTTTGCCCTGCCCTGCTCTACTCTGCTCTAGTCTACTCTAGTCTGGTCTACTCGAGTCTACTCGAGTCTGCTCTGCTCTGCTCTACTCTGCTCTTCTCTAATCTACTCTACCCTACTCTATTCCTCTACTTCACTACTTCAGGTACATGGCAACTAGACTGAATGATCTTCTGAGCTACTTCTCTACTTCAAGAACATGCCAACTGGACTAATGACCTTTTGAGAAGCGGACTTTCCTCTATGAAACTTCCTATGATCAATCGCATGTGGTGCAGGAGATGCACATTGAAAAGATCAAGGATCTCTTTCAAGAGATTGATGAGGAGCGCACCGGGATCATCACCTACCAAACATTTCAGCGCAAGATGAACAGCCCTGAAGTACGAAGCTGGCTGGTGGTTTTAAGGCATCTGTTTTTTTTGATCTCCACCACTCTTGAGGGAAATTTTTCCCCCAGGTTTCTAAGAGTTTCTCTGCGCCAAGGAACATACTTTGAGACCCTCGACCTTGATGTTTGGGATGCCTGGAGTTTCTTCAAACTCCTTGACCTCGATGAAGGCAAATGGAAGAGAAACAGCCTTAGCATGCCTTAGCAAGAAATAGCAGGGTCGAAGCTCAAGCCGTTGTGAACAAATTGGAGTTCCTTTTCAGGTCCAGGTGTTTTTTTCTCCCAGCAAAAAGGGAAATGCCATGTATAAAGTGAGCAGAACACATTTCAAAACACCCTGGCATTGACAGGCGGGTCCGTAGAAATCGAGGCGCTGGGATCTGAGATGCCGGGCCCACAAAATTGGCGACGGCGACGATTGACATTTTTAAAAGGCTAACCATTTTGACAATTTTGAGCCTTATCAAGATCAAACCAATAGGATTGCAATAGGACGAGTTTTCCTGAATTTTGCGAGCTGCTTGTCCCAATCAGCTTGAGGTCAGGGCTCCAATACCCCTACTGTAGCAAATGACATCAACCGGGTTTTAGACGTTGGCTGACAGCTGACCATGCTTGTGAACCTTCAACCATTTCCAACATTTCTCAACCGGTGAAACTGGACACTTTCTGCATTCTTCCATGTATCATGAAGTTTTTGTCGTGATTTCACTGGGTATGGCCCGATATTGTTGAACATGCATAGAACATTTAACGTCTCAATGCTAAGAACGACGCCATACATGGCTCGTTGTATGTGTCAGTGGTAGCATGAGTCACACTCGATAGAGAGGGGGAGAGAGAGAGAGAGAGTTATAGCATGGGTTGGCCAGCAAATAACAGGGGGATCAACCTGCCACTTCAGCTCTCCCATCTTTCCCCGATTCACAGGAGTTTTTGATGGGCTGCTTGCGCCTACGTGGCTCCGCAAGATCCATGGATGTGGCCAAACTGATGTACGACCAGGTCATGGCTTAGCGGCGCCAAATAAACGGTGGACAGTTTTGCGTGAGTGAGCCTCTTGCGAGCATTCTCCTGTGCTCAAGTCAGCTTAACTTTTCCATCTAGAGAAGTGTTGTGAGACTCCCCAAACCCTTCGGTTTTCATTTTTGCTTGGATGAACAGAAAGCATGCCCGGCCAAATATGGTGCTTTGTTTTGGGGTCAGGCCTGGCACATCAAGAATCAGGGCCGCTTTTGGGCTTTCGTGGAGGACACTGGAAAGCCCGGTACCCGTAGCAGCTGTTATGTGCCGGTTGCGATTTACATAATACGTAAAGTTTTATGCTTTGTGCAATTTTGCGGGGTGGTTTTGGTGGCTCGGTTGCGAGGAGAATGCCAGGCCATACCCCAAACTGATCAGCCAGGATTTAGGCTTCCAGGTTGAGGGTCCATCACTGCATTGATGGTGATCGATTTCAGTACTCATAGTCAGTTTAAGCGTGGTTTGAATATGACACGCCAAAATTGACATCTGAATCAATGGATCTTGTGCCTGACTTAGGCATACTTAGGCGACATGTGCACCAAAGATCCCTAGACTATCCCAAGACTCCAGACATCTCCAGACCTTGAAGGAGCGGTTGAGGATGCTTCAAGAAGAAGTCTCGTCACCGAATGCAAAATGAAGCCTCTCTCTATGAGGATGGAAGACTCATGATCGGTGCCGTTGAGGGGCTGTCATCACTTCAATTGATCATCTGGTTGGCGGCTTCAATATTTTTCAAACATTTTCAAAGATGTTTTCGAAGCCTTTCGTGGGATGATGATGATGAAGCCATGTTTGATATGTTTGTTTCCAGGGGTTTGAAGGTGGAAGCGGCCAGCCAGTCACATCCTTATTAGAGAGGTTGCGTCGCAGGATGCTGGTGCCCTCGGCTGTGACTGTTGCACCTGGAACCACTGATATCAAGCCATGCAAGTGGTATATACGGTATACCCGGTATACCTATAAATTGGATTCAGGTTCAAAGAGGTTCAGGAGAGGTGGAAGAGCGGGTGGACAGAGGTTAGCTTCTTTGGAAAGTTTTTGGCCAAGGACAGTTTCAGAGTCAGGCCGTGAGCGCACAGCAGTTGCTTGCGTGCCAGTCAAACCAGCTTCGACATATTTTTGAAACTAATTCAATTTCATTCCAAATATTTCCATCTCGTTCCAAATAAATATTCCAAATAAATATAGTTCATTCCATATAGCTATTTTATGTTAGTTTCATTTGGGAATCGATCTAAAGGTCCTTGTAAGATCTTGTAAGGAGTTTTATTTTTAATTGCGAAAGCCGTGCGTGTTATGTTGGAAACCCTCGCGAAAGTTTTTTTTCCGAGTTCGCGAAAGTAAAACTTTGTTTCGCG